CGCCCGGGGCCGTGTGAATGAATTCACCGAGCATCCAGGAGAAAGGAGACTGACCGCAGCCTCGGGGGTGGGCTGGCCCCGGCCTGGAAGCCTGCAGTCGGGTGCACTGCGCGCTCCGGCCACCAGGGGGCGGACGAAGGCCGCGGGAAAGGGGGCCGGGGGGGGGGGAGGAGTAGGGGAGCGGCGGGGGAAGACATGGGGGCGGGGAGAAGAGCAAGGAAGGGGGAGGACAAGGGGGCGGGGAGGGGGCCAGAGGAAGGGAGAGGGGAGAGAGGAGGGAGGCGGCCAGAGGAAGAGGACTGGGTTGAGCGGGGATGGGGATGAAGAAGACTGGGGGGGGGGGGCGGGGAGGCCTGGGGTGGCGGTGGGGTGTGGAGCGGGGGAGGGCAGTGCTGGAGGCAGCCCTTTCCGGCAGCAGAGCCCAGGCTGGCTGGTTGCGGGCCAGAGGCAAGGAGGGAAGGCTGAGGACGTGCTTCCTGAGTCCTGCCTGGCTCTGCTTGGCCAGCTGGGGTGGCCCCTGTCCTCGGAGGTGCGGAGCAAGGGCCAAGGGTGGAGGTGGCTAGAAAGGAGGCAGTCGGGGCGGCGGGCAGTCCCCCGGGCCCGTGTCCTGACCCATGCTTATGGCCGCCTGTGAGCCCTGCTCCCGGCTAGCACCAGGGACAGGGACACGGCCGGCCCTCAGGCTCGGGGTGGTGGGGGGGAGGGCGCTCACGGAGGCACTCCCAAGGCCACCACTGGTGTGGGAAGCCTGAGTGCTGCGGAACCAAAGGAGGGCTGAGAACTGGGAGGTGGGGTCTGACCCGCCAGTGCCTAGCTGAGAGGCGCTGGGAATGCAGGCCCCTCTGTGAAACAGGAGGTGGTGTCTTTTTCAGAAGCTCTGGGTGGGTGGTTGGATGGACATTGCTGTAAGGGCAGCCCCACCCCTCTGTGTCTCCATCAGCCATCAATCAATGTCAGCCTCTGGGTTGCCAGCCCCAGGGGCCTCTCTGGGCCGCTGTCTCCCTACAGTTGAACCAGCTCGTCTCCACTTCCCCAGCTCCTTAACCCAGAGAAACTTCAATTTCTGCCCTCAAGATCCTTCACTTTCTGCTGGAACAATCCATCATCTAGGCGAAGGGTCTTCCTTGTCTTCTGGAATGAACACCCGGTGGATTGGATCATGTCATCGGTTCCTGGTTCAGAGAGCCTTTCAGAGCTTGCTAACAACCCAAGTCCTGCTCTCCCCTTGCTGGTCGTCACACGAGCTCCACCCCGCTGGTCACCAGGCACTTCACGGAGGAGCTTAGGCTGTGCAGACAGAAAGCCTTGGTCTGTGAAGGAACTGGGGGATGGTGGTCCCCAGCCCTCCTTCCTGCAATGCCATCCTTGCAAACATCGTGCTTCTCAATTCTAGTTTTGTGGCTTTTTGTCCCCACAACACTGTCTCTCAAGCTGTATTTCCACTCCAGTGTACTCATCCAGTTATTCACTGAGCACCTAGTCAATGCCAGGCCGTGCACTGTGTGCGGGCAGAAGTACCAGGTGCTTCCACAGCAGGAGGGGGAGGGGGCTCACCTGGGTAGTCGGGAAGACCTCCCTGATGTGGACACTTGAGCAGAGACGTGAGGGTGCAGGCCAGGGAGGTCTGAAGGGCACTTCCTGTTCCAGGATTGGGAACAGCCATGCAAAGGCCCTGAGGTGGCAGTGTGAGTTAGAGGAAGAGCCTGAGGCCCCCGTGGTTGAGCAGGTGCTCTGAAGTCATGATAGCACTTTGGACTGTTTTCTGAGATAGGTGGGAGCCAGCCTGAGAGGAGTGTGCTGAGGCTCCACCTTGAGATGTGGGAGCTGGGCCCAGAGAGGGAAGGCAGGGAGTTCAAGGTAGCAGAGTCAGCATGACCTCCCCAGCCAGCTTCACCGGCTGCTCTGGCTGCTCTCTTTGCACACTGAGCCGCCACAGCCAGGTATGGCCCCTCCCAGCCAGAGCCCCAGAGCAGCAGGAGACCCTGCCCAAGACCTCAGGGGCTGGCTTCAGCGTCCTTGTCCCACCAAGAGGCACAGGCAGCAGGAGCAGCACTTTGATGGAGGGTGGGGAGGGCCAGGGTCGGCCCAGTTCCCCCACAGGACCCCTGAGCAGAGACCTGCAGTAAGAGTCTCCAAGCCACCGGTGGGGCTGAGGAGGGGCGCTTCCAGGCAGAAGTGCAGGGCCACCCAGAGACTGGCGCTAGGGCCCCTGAGGACACTGGCAGCAAGTGCCAGCCATGCCTGAACACCCTCCACAGGCTGGGAGCGGTGAACGCTGACACACCCAGTGCGGGTGGCTACTGCCTTCCCTCCTAGGATGAGAAGCCAGAATGCCAGCGACGGTCACCCAGTCTGCGCACACATAGTGCCCACCTCGCCACAGTGCAGCTGCCGGTGGGGCTGGGGGGAGGCAGCCAGCCCAGGAATCAGCAGTTAGTCTGCAAAGTCAGAGCTTTTCCAAGTGGCTAAAGAAGACGGGAGATGGCCACGTGGAGGTGTGCAGTGTGACCTCAGAGCCAGGAAGGGCTGGGAGGGCGCCAGAACAGCGGGGGCATGGGGAGGGATAGTGGGGATGGAGCCTATGGCCTTCCTGACCCTCCCAGACCTGCCCTGGCTGTGCATGGAGCAGGGCCAGCCAATGCTGGGGTGTGACTGCACCAGAAAACCAGATATGTGGGTGCGGGCAGATTTAGACCATGTAAAATTCCTCCTGGTTAGAGCTGCGGATTGTTAGAACCCAGAAATCTGGACAGTTTACAGGCACTGACCACCTTCTGGACGTTCTGGGGAAATTATATTCTGCCTGTGAAAGGTCACTCTTGGGGACAAGAAGTCCTCAGAGGGTATATCATCAGGCAGGAATTGGCCCAGATGAGAAAAGCCTGAGAGCAGTGGATACTGTGGGCCAAGGGGACCAAACCTGGACCACAAAGGCAGAGGAGTCAGCAAAATGAATAGGGGGCACGGTGGTGTGGGGATGCCTATTCCAGGATTGGGAATGGTTGTGCAAAGGCCCTGAGGTGGCAGTGTGAGTTAGAGGAAGAGCCTGAGGCCCCTGTGGTTGAGCAGGTGCTCTGAAGTCACAATAGCACTTTGGATGTTTTCTGAGGCAGGCGGGAGCCAGCCTGAGAGGAGTGTGCTGAGGCTCCACCTTGAGATGTGGGAGCTTCCTGCTGCTCTGGGGCTCTCGCTGGGAGGGGGCCACACCTGGCAGTGGCAGCTCAGTGTTCAGGGACAGCAGCCCAAGCAGCTGGATGAAGCAGCATCCAGCAGGTCCACCTGATCTCCCCAGGGACGAAGCTGGAGTGCCCCTGCCCCGCCAGGTCATTGCTTGCTGGGTCCCCTGAGACCCTGTGAGGTGGGCAGCTCTGTGTGCAGAGGGAGATGGAGAGAGAAAGTTCCAGCTCTGAGCCAACCTCACCCAGAAACTCCTCACCCACCGTCGTGTGTCTGAGATGACTTAGAGGAGAGACAGGCTCACAGTGACCCATGAGTGCCCACTTCATGGTGGCCACAGAACTCAGGGCCAGGACAACGCCATTGGCTCCCACCCAGTGCACACCCTGGGTGGCCATTGTCACCCCGTGGTTTCCAGCCAGAGATCTAGGTTCTGAATTCCTTCCCTGCATTCCTCCACCCCATGTCTGCTCTGGGAGGGCGAGTTGTGCGAGGCTCAGGTGGCCAGAGACAACACACCTGGCAAGTTCAGACCTGCTTCCCCAGCAGGAGGCTTAGTCACAGGAATCTCCCCGGAGCATTCCATCACCCACAGGGAAGCAGTGGCGGGTGGGGTGCCAGCGCTCAGGGGTCTGAAACTCCCCATCACAGGATGCACGAGTGCTAGGGTTGCTGGTCGTCTGGGACACCTGAGATTTGCAACACATTGGACTGGCAGCACAAGATCAGATGCTAAGGTCTGTGTGAAAACGAGAAGCCACAGGTCACTGCGAGAAGTCCCTCCCATGGGGCCCTGCACAGCCTCGGGCTCCAGGCCAGAAAGATGGGAAGGTGAGACAGAAGTGTCTGCAGACACGTCTAGACCTGCGAGCAGGTGGACATGCACTGGCCACTCCAGTGGGTGTCCAGGGGACACGAAGCCGGTTCCCAGAGTCTGGGGTTGAAGGAGAGACTGTAAGAGGTGCACCATGGGGGAGGGGGGGCTGTTATGGAAACCCCCTGGCATCAGCGGTGACCCCTGGTTATGCCAAGTCCCTGCATATGGAGCCTCCTTCGGGAAGAATGGACCCCGACGTCCCACCTCTTGGGGTCGCTGTGGGTTCGAGGACATGGCTCATCCAGCCACAACACACACCCTCTCAGACAAGTCCCGACTGGACCGCGCGCCGAGAACAGGCATCGAGGGAGCTAGCCTGGCCCAAACCACGGCCTGGAAGCCCCAGAAACGAGGATCCCTCTCCTCCAACCTCCTAAGCTGGTCCTGTCACCACCCGCTCCCCTACCCAAGGGAGAGCTCGCGGCTCAGCCCCGAGGCGAGGCCGGGGCCAACGACCTCAGGGAGCCCAGGCTGAGAGTCCCTGCCTCCACACCGCCCCTGGACGGCCGCCGTCGGGAACGCCCACTCCACCTGCAGAAGGGATTCCAGCATTGCCGCGTGGGCCTCCGCGGACGCATTCCCTCCCCGGTGCTCAGCCCCAAACCCGTCTGGCCACCTGTGGGCCTCTGTCTGCGCAGCAGCCCCTCCGCCACACACCCGCCCGGCCTGGCCGGGCGCCGCGACGTCATCGCCCGCGTGGGGACGAGGAGGGGGAGGGAAGAGGAGGTTTGGCGCGCCGGAGGAGGAGGATGGAGAGGAGGACGAGGAGGATCGGCGGCCGGGAGGATGAGTAGGAGAAGGAAGGGGAGTGGGAGGATCATCGGCAAGCCAGAGGAGGCGGCCCGCGGCGCTCGAGTCGCCGGGTGGGCCGGGAGCCCGGAGAAGCGCTTAGGTGCCTGGCCTGGACGCCAGCCGGCCCCGCCCCCGGGCACGCTCCCGACTCCGCCCCCGAGATCGCCCCGCCCCGGCTCCGCCCCCGGACGCGTCCCGGCCCGCCCCGCCATCTGCGCTCGGTCGGCCGGCCTGGGAGCTTGGGGCTGCCGCGGACTCCGGGGGTCGGCGAGACCGTGGACCTGCATGCGCCTGGCGGTGAGTCGCGTGGGGGCGGCGGAAGGCGCCCTGCAGGACGATGTGGGGAGGGAGCAGGGGGCGCCCGGGGAAGCGAGGAGAGGTCTGGAGGAGGCTGGCAGTCGGGGGTTAGGGTGGGCCCGGCCCCAGGAGGCTGAGCCTCCATCCCCAGCCCCCTAGCCCCGCAGCCCTCTCGAATATTTCCGAAGATCTGGGGCCGGAGCGGGTGGAGACCGCCGCCAGGCGTCCTCCCTGGCTGGGTGGCCCAGGGCTGCGCAGGCACTGGGAGCCCATCACCCATCCCTGGGTTCTCCGTGACTCTCACGTGGGGACTAGGGAGGGGCAGCCTTCCTGACTCGAGGAGGGGGCTGCGATCTCCGCGGGCCGGCAGGAAGGGGAGAACTCGCTGCCCTGGGGATCACCCCGGGGACAGGAGCCTTCAGGGCAGAGGTGACGGCTCCCTGTTTAGCATAGATTATGCAAGCATGTGAGGCGTCTAGGAACCCAGGTCCTCTGTGCGGAGCCACCTGGTCCTTTCCCTTCTCAGGCCTAGAGTCACTGGGGGCCGGCTTTCCCAGAAATCAGTGCCGTGACCCAGTGGGAGGAGTGCGCAGTCTGCTTCCCAGATGGTCCTGCCCCCGCAGCCCACTGGTTCTCCTCAGGGCTCCCTGTGCCTGTCTGGGAAGCATCTGACAGTCCCGCCCGGCCCTACTAATGCCCGTCCACTCGGGCCAGTGCCTCAGCCCAGCCTAGCGTGGCCTGCTTGGTTGGGTGCCTGGCAGTGGGCAGTGGGGACCCTGGCTGTGACTGTTTGTGGCTGTGCATGCCAGGGCTTCCTTGAGGACAGCTCAGGGCTCCTCCACCCAAACCCTCACTTTACCGAGGAGAAAATGGAGGCGCCTTCTTCCCCAACTGCCTGGATCGGGGGACAGGCCCCAGCTGGGCTTGGCACTGTTCCCAGACAGCTGCCACTCCTGCTCTGACCCCAAGATCTCAGCCCAGACCCAGGCCCAGGACTGGGCACGAGGGGTCCGCTGCCAGCCCCTCCCCAAGTCTGTTCTCTCTCTGGCCTTCCTCTTCCTCCCAGGCCTGGAGTGCCCCTACCCACTACCCGGTGTCCTCAACAGAAGGCAGCAGGCTCCTCCTCCCACGCCAGGCCTTCTGCCAAACCAGAACCAGAGCCCCAGCTGGCCACACTCAAAGTGCTTTCCCCACCCACCACCACAGGCCTCTGCCCAGGGGAGGGTCCAGCTGCAGGGGACTGGGCAGCCCCCAGGGACTCACGCCCACCCGGCTGACACTGGCCTGTGGCTCCCGCCGGTGTGGCTAGTGTGTCGCTGAGCCTGTTTCCCAGCCGCAGATGGGGAATGAGCAGATACTCAGAGGTCCTTGTCTTCCGTGTCAAATAACATACAGAATGGGAGGCGCCCCTCGCCCTCCCCGCACAGAAGCTTCTGAGGTGGGTGCTCAGCCAGGTGTGCCTCATTCCCCCAACCCAGCCCTGAGTGCCCATGCCAGGCACAGGGCTGGCCCATGGAAAGTTCTGGATGCAGGTTAGCTACTATTATCCCCTCACCCCCAGGACCACAGGCAGGGGCCACTCCTTTGGCATCACACCTCCTGCCTGTGTGATTCGGAGACTGGTAATGAGTTTCCTAGTCTGGCCTCCAGTGTCCTCTTCCCCAGCAACAAGCGCCACAGGCCTGGGGCGGGGTCTCAACTGAAGGAGCCTGCACCACGTGAGGAGCAGGTTAGGAACAGACCAGAAACACACTCTGTGTTCTGCCCCAGCTGCTGGAAGCTGGCGAGTCCCAGCCCCAGGGCCTGGCACTCAGCGTGGGGTGGGCAGCTGGGCCGGCCCTCCAACGAGCTGTCTTTCCAGAGCAGACCGGGCTTCTTGGGCTTTGTGAGACCCCAGACGGGACACCTGCCCCCTCCAGAATGAAAGTCTTCCTGCCTATGCTGCTGGCTGCCCTCCTGGGAGTGGATCGAGGTGAGAGCCCTCAGGGCCTTTTGGCTGCCCAGGACCTCCTCTCCCCCGAGATCCTTCCAGCCTGTCAGTCCCGTCCAGTCCCATCCCGTCCTGTCCCGTCCCATCCCATCCCCGTGTGAGCTGCTCTGTGCAACCTGATAGGCCTCTGTCTCCCAGCCAATGGGCTGCTCCTCCCTCCTGCTCCCACTGGAAACCTCCGCCCTGCCCCACACACTGTTGTCACCATGCATTTGAATGTCACTGGAGCTCCTCAGGGCCCCTGGTGTCATTGTCTTTTCTTGGGGGCCTCGTATACAATAGTTGCTCAATAAATATCTGCAAAAGATTGGGTATTGGGCGTGTGCAGGTGTGAGGGATGCTGGACAGCATCCCAGGGCATGAGACCGGGTCGCCAGCATGTCCCCTCCGTCTGCAGCCCACTCCCTGGTGTGCTTCTCTTGCACGAATCAGAACAGCAATTTTTACTGCCTGAAACCGACCGTCTGCTCTGACTCGGACAACTACTGCGTGACCATGTCTGCCGCCGCGGGCATTGGTGAGTCGGGGTGCCAGCCGGCCAGGCTTCCACCCGACCCGGCCCCCTGCCATCTGTCTCTCCACTCACAACCTTGTTTTCCGTGCAGGGAACATAGTGGACTTGGGCCACTCCTTGAACAAAGGCTGCTCCCCGATCTGCCCTGGGCCCCCGAGTGTTAACCTTGGTGTGGCGTCCGTGGGCGTCCACTGCTGCCAGAGCTTCCTGTGCAACATCAGCGCGGCCGACGGCGGGCTGCGGGCCAGCGCCACCATGCTGGGCCTGGGGCTCCTGCTTAGTCTGCTGTCCGCTCTGCTGCGGCTTGGCCCCTGACCACTGGGGCCCTGTGCCCGGCCCAGACTCCCTAAGCTCAGGAAGGAAAGCCCAGCCCCTCCCAGACCCCAAGAGGATATCAGAGCCTCCTCCTCCAACTTGTCACCCTGCCTGATGACACCCCCCTGGTCCCCACAGTCACGCCTGCCCCCTGCACCTACACCTGCCAGCTGCCCTCACTTCCGGGGTCAATGATGTGACCTTCCTCGGGAAACCTGGGAAGGGATGAAGGTCCCCCTGGAGCCTGAGGGTCCTGGAGTCAGAACCGAGTCCCGGGGACCATCCTGTCTGCCCCAGGTGGTGTGGATGATGCACTTCGTGCCACTGTGTCTCAGAAGAGGAAGTGTGCTTGGGTACACTCAGCTGTGTGGACAGGGGTGCAGTGTGCCCCTGCCCTGTGTGCATGTGTGTGGCTGTGTCGGGCTGTGTTTGGAGGGGGTCGGGGTAAGGGTCAGGAGTCCGACATTAGCAGCCCCGAGAGCTCCCACACCAGCACTCCTTTTCTCTGGCATTTCATACCCCACATTTCACTCACTACGAGGGCAGTCTTTTGGGGGACAGAGGTTCCACTGCTTCCAGGTCTGGGCTGCTGGCCCCAGGAACCGGCTCCCAATCCCAACTCCTGCTGCGGCCCCCACCCCTCCTCCACCCCATGCTGGAGCCCTCCTGCTGCTTTGTGCCTCAAATAAAAACAGATGTTCCACCCCTCCCTGCACTGAGTGTGACTGCCTCTGGCCCACCCGCCTGGGAGCGCCCCTCCCCACAGTGCCCTGATGTGCTGGGGGGGGTGGCAGAGATCCAGTGTGGGGCCCCAGTGTGGAAGGGTTGGGGATCCCCATGGCAGCGCCCCACACTGAGGCCCACTTGGGGCTGAGAAGGGAACGTCCACCTCCTGCCTTCCACTTTGTCCTGCGCGTGGCTGGGCGAGGCCGCGTGGGAAGTTCCTCCTCGGGCCAGGGAAGGAGGTCCACCTGCTTCTGGAAGGAGGCAGGACCCTACGGAGGGGGAGTGGGGTGGGGCAGGACATGACCTGCAGGAGCATGCATGGGGGACAGGCACCAGCCCCAGGGCTTGGGGGCTTTGGGAGCAAGGCGTGTGGGCTGGTTGGGCTGAGGAGGGCACAAAGCCTGCCGGCAGCAGGATCTCAGTAGGTGGGTGAGCGAGACGTGCGTCCCAAGGGCCCATGGGAGGAGAGGGTCAGGGTGCCAATGCAGAGGGCCAGGGCTCCCCTGGAGAAGGCCTCGGACCCTGGCTGGAGGGCAGGGGTGCTGCTCGCCAGCCATTGCTGTGCGTGCCCACTTCCCCTTTGCCGGCCTGTTGTGGTCTCCAAGGACCGAGGGGGCGGAGGCCCGAGCAGGGGGCCCTGCAGTCGGTGAATTGTGTTGGCAGCCGAGGGGCTTCTTTGATTGAGCTGGTGGGCAGAAAACGAGGGGCGGTGAAGGACTGAAGCAAGGCGCTCCGTGAAGGCTGAGGTATTCCTCAGGACGCTGCCAAGCCTCTAGGATGGTGGGAAGGAACGAGGTGGGTCTGGGTCCCTTTACCTCCCGACCCAGGCTGGCCAGAAGTTCTAATGTGCCTGCGTCCAGGGTCCGAGAAGCACCGTCCAGTGGGGTGGGATGGTGGTCACAGTGGGGCTTAGGAGTCTGGCCCGTCTCCTGGGGTCCCTGAGATCAGGGCAGGCACTGAAGCGCATGAAGGCAGTGTCATCATCGCCACCAAACAGGGATAGCCAGCCATGCAAGTGGCTGAGCACCAAGGCTGTGATGGAGCCCAGGGGAGGGCGGGCCTCCAAACAAACCTAGCAAGAGGAGAGATCTGCTCCCGGAAATCAGAGTGACACGGTGTGGTGGGGACAGCAAGCGGAAGGGGAACCGGGCCCAGCCAACACCTTGTGGAATGATCTGGAAGCACATCTGAGCAGCCTGGTTGAGACTCAGTGGGAAGGGAAAATATTGGGGTTCACTTGAGCGGATCAGACCAGCATTAAAACAAAAGTAAGGAAAAGAATTCAAGGGGATGAAATCAAATGTCGCCCAGGAATGCTGGTAACTGTCAGCCCAGATGATGGCTATCTGGGGAGTTCTCAGTCCCCACATAAAATGTATTCACTACATCGTTCACTCAAAACCAATCATAAGCAACTTTGCTAAAGGGACCACCCCGTGAATGGAGGCTGCAATGTGGGGCGAGAGGAAGCTGCGCGTGTCGTCTTGAAAGTCATGGTCAGGAAATTGAACTTGAGCCCTAGAGCACCGGGAGCTGTGGGGCGGGCGCAGTGGCAGGTCTATCTGTAACAAATGTTCATTCTAAAACTAACCCAAGTCTCCGTCTCTGGGTACCTGCTATTTTCAGGTGACATTAATCTGTTATCCCTTTGCGTGCAACCTCACTGAGAGATGGGTATGGTTATCCCCAGCTTTCAGAAGCGGAAACTGAGGCTCAGAGGATTGCAGCCACTTGCCCTGCTGGGTCTGTGCTCCTCGGGCCTGGCATTCCCTCTGCTTTGAGTTGGAGAGTAAAGTCTCTAGGGCTGGGGTCAGGGGCAGCCCTGACCTGAGGGCGGCTGGTGGTCCCACCTGGCTCCTCCTGCCCCTCCCTGGGGAGGTGGGAGGCTGGGAGGGACAGGCTGTGTTGCAGCAGAGGAGGCTGGGTGGGGAAGGGGAGGGGAAGGGTGGGTGGAGGAGCCTACGGCTCTGAGTTTCCATTTCCTGCAGCCTGGGGGAGGCCAGGGAGGGAGAGGAGGGGTGGGGGACACCGGAAGAGGGACGGGAGGGGCAAAGCAAAAGAAAGCACTCCTCAGGCCCTGTGCCAGTGCTCTTGCTCAACCCTGGCGTCTGCCCAGCCCCCAGGGAGGTACCAGGTGGGATGCTGGAGGCCCCGGCACGCTCGGGTCAGGAGTCGGACTCCCCAGTCTCAGTGCCCAGGTGCTGGATGAAGCCCCCATTTCTCTGTAGCCAAATTCAGCTCCGCCATGTCTGGCCCCTGCCCCCTGCCCCCTGTCCCCTTGCCTGCCCCTCCCAGGCTGCTCCGTCTCAGGAGCCCCCTGTCTCCGGGAGCTGAGGCCTGTTCACACTGATGTCTGCCCTCGTCCCTCTAACACCTGGGCAGAGGGGGGGTGGGGAGCTCACAGCAGCCCAGAGAGGGTGGGCCCCGGGCTGAGCAGAGCCCCTCCCCACCTGCACCCCAACCCCTTAACAGAGGTCCTCTTCACGGCAGGCTGCATTCTGCTTTCCAGTCTTCAACTCTGTCCATCTTGCTTTTGTCAAGAGAGCCTCTTCTGGAACAGCTCCAGGCCCTTCCTTGTAATATTGAGCAGGAAACCCCACTTCTCCCATAGCTGACCTCCTTCCTGAGGGCTGGAGAGGACACTGCATGAAGGCTCCCCGGAGCCCCCTGACCCTCTCCAGGCCACTCCCCTTCCCCCTCCCTCTGCCCTTAACTCCTCTGCTGCCCCCTCCCCAGCCTCAGGACCCACCCCTCCTCCAGGGAACCTGAGAAGCCAATGGGGACACTGAGGCAGCCAAGATGGGTAAGCACCTGCTGGGGTCCACTTGTATCTGGGATCAGCCAGGCAGGTCCCTGAGCTCTGCCCAGCTTTCAGCAGGCCAGGGGGCGGCCCTGGACCCCTGCATGTGGGAGTGCCCCCAGCCACCCCTCATGTACTTCCACACTCTGGGTCCCACACTGACAGTCCCATTGACCACGGGAGGGAGAGTGTGGAGCACCAGCTAGGGTCCAGGACTTGGGACACTGCTTGCCCTCCAGGCCTGGGCTGGCAGTGGGCAGGAGAGGGGCTCAGAGGCTGAAAGGGCAGGTTTCAGTAGCTCCACCTGCACAGGCCCCCTCCTCACGTTAAGGTCTGGGCAGTGAGGATGCGGAGGGGCTCTTGGCCACCTCTACCCAGAGAAGCGGGCAGAATCCCGGGATCAGAACAGGTGGGTATACTGACGGTCTCCCCACACCTCTTCACATCTCACCCCTCAATCTCAGTGAGATCCCCACCCCACCAACGGCACGCGGCCACAGATCTTCCGGGCTTGGGGTCCAGGGCCAGTGAGGTGAGGGGCGCCTGGGGGCTCTGGGCCTGGGGAGACACCACGGTCAGACCCGGGCAGGGGCAGGGGGCTAATTGCTCCTTTTTTTTGAGGAAGATTAGCCCTGAGCTAACTGCTGCCAATCCTCCTCTTTTTGCTGAGGAAGGCTGGCCCTGAGCTAACATCCGTGCCCATCTTCCTCTACTTTATATGTGGGACACCTACCACAGCATGGCATGCCAGGTGGTGCCATGTCCATACCAGGGATCCAAACTGGCGAACCCTGGGCCACCAAAGCGGAACGTGCGCACTTAACCACTGCGCCACTGGGCCAGTCCATAATTGCTCCTTATTAATGTACAACTATCAGTGCAAATAATCCGTAACCAATCTATAAATCAAAATTGTGGTGAGTTTATCATGAGCCAAATGTGAGGACCATATAGCCTGGGAGAGTCCTTCCACAAAGGAACGGAGCACTCCAAAGAAGTGGGGGTATACAGAGTGGTTATGCACCCTCAGAGAGCATGTATCCCACATGATTGAAATGTCCCTTTTACAGTACTTACAAGACTGCTCTGAGGGCACAGTGATTGATGGACACGGTAGGTAGTAGGTCGGCTGTCTCGGTGGGCACAGCAGGGTGGCAGGTCTGTTGTCTCAAGCTGGGTGATCACAGGTGAGCTGTGTGGTCACAGGTGAGCACAGCAATCACTTCCTAGCCTAAGGAAAGATGCTTATCCTTAAGGAAATGCTAATATGGGGGAAGTTGCAGCTTTACCTTAAGGGCATTTGTTCTTGCCTTTGAGACATAGGAAATGCTTCAAGCAGACATAAATGTCTGTTCAATGGCCACATCAGGCCCTTTTGGAAAAAAAAAAAAAAAGTCCAGGCCAAATCAGCTTTATACCAAGTGGCTTCCTCATATACTCCAATATATGCTATTGCTTGTCATTTTCATCACAGCCCTTCCCCCAGGATTGCAGGAAGCCCAGCTCCTCAGGACTGGAGAGGAAGGGCATTCAACCCTGCCTCCCCCACACCTCCGTTGGGGCTCTGGGTGGGACCTTGCCCCCGTCTCCCCCCTGTGCTTCTCAGGGCGGAGACCTGGAGTGGTCCTGGGCTCCCCACTCTGCCCTCCCTGCGTAGCCCCCTCCCCCAGGGCCCAGTCAAGACCCTGGCCAGCTCCCCGAGGCCGGGCCAGCTCCCCGAGGCCAGGCCTGCTCCAAGCTCTCAGAAGGCAGTTGCAGCCTCGCCCTCCCTTGGGTAGGGTCCTGAGTCTCAGATTTGGGTACCCAGTGGTACCTCACTTTTGGGGCCTCAGCCCTCCACCCCTCAGGGCCTAGTGAGAGCTGTGGTCCCTGTGGGACCATAAAGGGGGCCACCCCTGGCAGGAGGGGAGACTGAGAACCCGGGCATCCCAGGTCGCACTGTGAGCAGGAGTCCCCTGCCCCACCTCCTCGCTGCCCTCCTCTGAGGGGCCTCCAGAGCCACCGAGAGCAGGGGCAAGGCAGAGGGCTACTGTGGGGCAGAAAAATAATTGTCCCTCTACCTTCCTAGGCTCTTGGCTGAGACACTCCTTCACAACCCACCCCCACCCAATAAATGACATTAACAGGAGAAAAACAAACACAAGTTTAATGACAGGTATATCTCCCATACACATGGGAGAGACCC